CTGAACTAGGTGTTATTATTAATTATTATATATTCAGTAATTCCGCTACCATTAATCCGTGTGTTACTGCTAACACTTGAAAATTACTACCAGAAATTCGGTGCTCAAACTGCGAAACTGCCGAATGGTTAACTCTAGGCTCCGAGCAGTAAATTTGTCTGAATATAAGGTCTAGAGGTGAAAAACGTATTGCAAAACGTGCGTGAACAAAATGTCAGTCGGAGATTGATAGCTAATATTCATATTCGCATATATTCTGTATGATGTATTAAAATTTGATGCAAGTTTTCACCCAGATTTTGTACATTTGGCTGGAATAAAAGACTGTCCTACTCCTTACTAAATACTTCGTGTAGCCTTGTATACCAAATTCCAAGTCACTAGTTGGAAACGTTAAGGCTTCAAGAGATAATAAATTCTCTTTCACATTTATAGTATAAGTAAGGAACTAAAGATTGATCTCAAATTTTACCATAATTGTCTTAATGTTCATAAGTCCTTAATCTCCGCAATATATCAACTAAGCTTTGTGGGCGAATTGATTCAATAAGCGTATATAACCTCGTGCACTTTCGAATACATTTCGTTTCGATGTGTTTCAATCAGGCTAAATCGATCTTAGAATTGAGGGCTGACGAGATGAGCGAGTCCAAATCTTAAGAACATTTCCCGCAAGAATTCAGCTTTCATATCGATTTGAAATTGTCATTATCGGTATTTGAGACTTCGATTTACCAATATCGCAATATAATGTTCAGACAAAAAGTGTTCAGTTCTCGCGTACGTTAATGATATGTTTTTCACTGTCAGAAAAAAATAAGGATAATTTATTTCTTTACGTTAAAACGAGACCGCATTATCGATTATAGAGAAATTAATTACAATTTGTCTTAATCAATTGATTACAAACCGGCTTCTGGTCACAGCAGAATATCAGTGTTTTGCTCTTTTGATGGCAAAACAATAAACAGAGTTGTGACCATTTTATATACTATAGCATATGCACAAAAAGAAAATTATGTTACTTATTTTACGTATTTTGTTTTTTTTTATATTATAGGTATGTATCCTTTTATTTCTGTATCCTTTTATTTCTTTTTTATTACGTATGTCTATCTATGTAGTTATTTGTGTTCTATAGTAATGTGAATACATTATCTCTGTATCTATCTACATTTTAATCTCTTTTCCCAATTATTAAATTTTTTTCTCCTATTATAATAAAATTTTACAGTTTAAAAAAAAATACACTTTCTTCACATTATACAGGATTGGTTGTATAATAGGAGTACCAAGCGAAAACCCATTGATAATATTTTATAACACCGCGCGGTCACATTATCAGGAGGCACAGCAGTGCCCCCGCCAAGGCCAGCACAGTTGTACCATCATATTCTACTAATAAAATATTTAATTCTTAAGTGCACTATTTAGATTTACTTAATAATTGAAATAGTGGATTTTATATTAGATTATTCTTTTATAATTATTTTGCCGTACAATTATCAAGATATTATACACTTTAGATATCACAACTTTTTATAGTATAGATATCACAACTTTTTATAGTAAAAAGTCTACGTTGTGAGACTTGGCGTTTTTTTTATATTTTATGATTTTAATACATTTATTATGAAAGATTTAGAAAATGCGTCTCATATAGGCATAAGTTTTTCAATTATATTGATACGAATAAACCTGTATAATATGTAAATCCCTCTTTATTACAATATCACTATAATGTATAATTTTACAGTTATTCGGTATACACATTTATGTGTAGATCACATGTCATGCCCGTAATTATTTGACATTGCACCACATAGCGTGTTCGCGTAATGACTGCCTTAGGGTTCATATGACGTGACGAGTTTCACCTTGCTCGAACCTTGAGTATTTTTTGGAGAAGGAAACCTTTTATCTTGATTGCTTAGACGATTAACAACATGTTTAGAACTGTGTGAACTTGTTCGCTATTGTCTGAATCTACCTATATACATTTTGCAATCAAAACAATTCCGTTTAATAACAAATTTTATTAAACTGCCCGAGTTGTAGTCTGAATCTCGACTTTTAAGTTTTTGAATATACTATTACTGATGTTATTCGCCGTGTGTGCCCCGGCATAGAATGGACCACCCCTTTCTTTCCCACGGGTGTCGTAAGAGACGACTAAGGGAGGGCAACGGATGGACAACAGAATCCCTCTTAGAACTCTAAAGGCCTAACTGTGGTTGCCAACCCGCCTACTCAACGTGGCAGCTACTAGCAAAACTCCCTTTAAAAGGAAGGCTTATGTCCAACAGTGGCTGAAATATTAAGAATAATGATAGATGAATGTAGACTCGTTCAAAGGAGCTTTCTTCCACAGATGCTTAGGTAATGCATGATATTTATTTTTGATGAAATACTAAAGATTTTTTGTAATATATTTTTGTGTTGTACACATTAATTAAAAAAAGAACATAGAAAACTAGTTATACGAATGTTTGTCGACTGAACATGGAAACTAATAAAGAAATAAAAGAAGTAAATACTAAAGGTAGTTTTGAGAATAATCCTGATATAAAATATTATCCTATTAATATTATAAATGCGAAAGTTTGTAACATTGAATGGATGGTTGAATGTATGTTAATCGTTACTCACGCGAAACATACTGAATGAATTTGAATGAAATTTAAAGCTAGCATATATGATACTTTATACTGATTCACAAGGGTGAAGACGCGAGATACAATTAATTCACAAATAATTTTGAAATTAAACCGTGTTTGTATAATATAATAACATTTCATAACAAAACATCGAGTTTATGTTTGACCTGTTTAAGAGCTCTTTGCGTTCCACCTTTGCGGATATGAATAGGCAGTAAAGATAACAGAAGTGCTGTTGTCGCTACTCAGATTCTCCCAGTACATACAGCTGAAAGAGTGCTTAAAAATTCTGTAAGCGGAACACGTCTGTTAAACAAGATTAAGGCAAAAAGCCGTCTGGCCGCCGTAAGCCACTGCATAATGGAGACGCCGTGATCTGATACGGCACCATTGAAAAGCTTTGTCGTTTTATATCCACTATCTTGTAATAAAGTGTGGTTTTTCAGTGTCGTTGGACGGGAGCGAAAATACCTAGCCGGATGATTTCTGCCGGCAAACTGCGAGCTGTTTAAATTCTATTGAAATCCGAGATTGTAAAAATTGCTCGGTTTATTTTGTGGTTAAAAATTCACTATTTTGCTAATGTAACTTTTTTGGGATATAATATTACTACTTTAATTTTTTTTTCTGAAAAGCAACAGAATTCTCAATAGTATACAATACATAATAGTATATGTTGTTTCGTAAAAAAAAAACAAACGACTTCAATTGTAACAAATATCAATGAACTACATGTTTGATAGACACATTAGATTCAAAATAAATTAATTTTGAACGTGATATCATTTATCTATAAATATATTTTGTTTCGCAACAAACGAGATTTTGTTGTCATGAGAATCATCATGGGACCAACGCGAGAGTAAGCCATATCGATTGATTGATTGAAATTATCAAAACTCGGTTCAGATTTGGCGACGTAATCGCGTAATAGAAAAAAAATATAGACGATTTGGAAACTTTTTTGAAACTCACTTAAAAATAACGAGATTAATGATATAAGATTTTTAAAAGACTACTTATTATTTTACAACCACCGCTTCCTTTCGTATCCTAAATAATGCAATAAGCATGTACGAGTATCCTTGAAATTCTGGGTTGCGGTGAAAATTATATGCTCTCTGCGTCCAAGTTTCTACCTCGTAATATGTAGAAGCTTGATAACATTTACGTGGTTTGAAATTTTATCATGGCACGATCCAAATGCTTCGTGCTCCCAACAGATGGCTTACTGTCATCAGGAAACTTCGCGGAATGAGAATCTGAAAGCTGATATAAACAACTGTTTCAGGGTTTTTAAACCTTTTTAAATTTGGCACTACCACAACAGTTTATTTGATTTAATCCATTTGCGTTCGTGTTTTATTTAAGATAATTAGAACTCCTTATTCGCAATTTCGTGTTCCCTTTATTAATTACTTTATTATATATCTATCTTATAATATATATATATATATATATATATATATATATATATATATATATATATATATATATATATATATATATATATATATATATATATATATATATATATATATATTTATAATTAATTTTTCTTTTTATAAAGGTTTTAATGATTTTTTTCTAAATTGATTTATGCTCAAGGTTTACTTTTTATTCGCACATTTCTTTACTATTTATATTTCTTCTATTTTATAATATTATATATTATAATACAATTGTAACTTTTTTTAAAAACTTGGTTGTTTTTTTTTTTTATTTCATAGTTATGTTTATAGAAACTGGTACATCATCTTTTTATGTGGCAATGTGACATTGTTTTCTGTTTCTATACGTATGATTGTCTTCAAGGTCTTCTTAATAATTGCCACTTCGAACTGTTTAATGTCTTAACAAGATGTGGCGGAAGCGGAGTGTAAAGATTTATTATATTAAAATGCCCAAGGATACCTAAATGTAACTGCTTTAGAACGTGGTACTCGTTTAAATTAACTTGTAAAGTTTAGATCAATTTGTCACAAAGTTTACTCGAGATGTAAAAGATTCGCACACATTTAATTAAAATACATTTGTGGAAATATAATATTATATTTAAATTTATTATTAGGCGCAGAGAATCCAAAGTTTCATAAAGGCGGTGAATTGTTTCTCTGCTGATATTTTATTTATTCAGAGCTGTCGTGTCGTCCCAACGTCGCACCCAACAAAATATCACCTAAGCTCTCGGGCACTACAGAATATTCTATACGCCTGAATAATGCCCAGTTTTCCGTAAAGAATACATTTGCATACATCGCTACACTGCAACAGGCAGGTTTCCTTTTTAAAATACAAATTTACGAATCTTGAACAAACACAAAACCATCTTTGTATGTTTAGTACAATATGTCTGCTACAGTGAAATGTGAATAAGGAATGCAGTGATGGAATGTTTAACAAGTATTGGTGCATTAAAAACAGTGAAAATGTTAGTGTTATCGAATATGTTTCGTGCAAGCCATCCCCAAAATCAAATAGGCCCTCAAGTGAACGCGATCACGGAAAAAGTGAAAGAGACAAGGAGAGATGAGTTATCGTCTCAGAATTCTTTAAGTATAAATCAACGAACAAAGACGCATGATAATGTAAGTGTACATAAAAATATCGATGAAGAGACTAAAACAGTGTTACGAGATAAATGTCTTTCTAACAGTGCTGATGCGATAGTCGTGTCAAATCATGCCAAAAGTAAAGTGATATGTAGTGCCAAAGGTTTATTAGAAACAAATCTAGATGATCTATTTAACGATGGACATAGTGCAGATTGGACGGCCGAACCAAAAAATTTGGGTGCTAGTGAGCCCACTTTAAGTTTTAACGAAGATTTCAAAGGTTTAAACAAACATGAATCTCTCGTGTCAGAAGATGACAGTGAAGAAGATACAACTACGGACAGCGATTGTATGGATGAAGTGGTTCGGGAGCAACGAATATGCTTGGGTGCGAGACGCTTCGGTCATATGCTTCGCAGAGTTATATCTAGAAATGGTAAGTGTGATTAAGGCACTTTTATCAAAATGCACCAAGTAGTAAATTAATGTTTAGTACAAATTAACATCAATTAAGTTTACCAGGCTGTAGCTTAGAATTGTTACAATATTAAAATGAGAGTCTTATAACTAAGTACGATATATCAATGATTAGTTTTTAAATTTGTTTCATATTCGTAAGTCATATAAAAAAGCATACCACAAAATTATTTCCGACCTTGTCTTGGCTTCGTCTCGCACCAGTGCGCACTTTAAAAAAAGTTGTAAAAAGACAAGCTCTTCATTGTTCCTATTCAATTGTTTTATATAACATCAGTAATACTTGCAATTGTTAAATTGAGATGGCGGCAGCTTTTATTTCTTTTTAATTGTAGTAAATTACTTGCCGCACTGATTGCATTGACTGTAGTTAAATATTTTTACGTAGATGTTATCTGTCGTCTTTATATCGACTTCTAGTCGTTTCTAAGTGATAGTTTTCTTTGTTATTTACTTATTCTTTATTGACCACATTACAAAAAAAAATTTTGGTACAAACTGTGGACTTAATGCTATATAGCATTTCTCTTACAGTCAATGTTTGGCAATACAAAAACGTATGCGGTAAAAAATTGAAAAGTGTTGTAGACAAACGTATCCACATTGACTTACAAATTATATAACAAGTACAATGAAGAACTACTGCATATTATGACCATATAAATACACTTACATGAGTATGAGGATGTCGTTACTAATACAGTATTTTGATTCGCTACACTAAATAAAATAGTTTAGTAAATTTCAATTTATCAATGAGTTAAAGAGTAATTTATTTGCGTAAACGTAGGTACAATTATAAATTTAAGGTATTTAATGCGTAAAGCGCTATATTTTACCGTCATTGGGCATACAAATATGATGATTACATGTCCTTTAAATTATAATTTTTACTAATAACAAATACAATATTACAACAACAAACAACAATACGATATTATCTTAGTACTATTGTTAGTATATAAGTGAAGTTTACAAATATACAATCAATACTATTGTCCATGAATTAAAATATACTGAGCTTATCGTTTTCGATCAGATAAGACATAAGCATTTTACAATTTTCAATAGTATAAAAATATATCTTCATAAGTTTTTCTCAAGAAAAGTCTGGGTTATAAGTTATATTATATACATATATATTTTTAATATTATTAGAAAAATACTTGTACTCCTCCATTAAAAAGGTGTTATATTTTTTTTTTTATTTATAAAATGATCGTCCCAAATACTTATTGTTACATAGTTATTGTTCACAATTAAAGCGATATCTTAATTAATTACCGAACCATAATCCGAGTTTATAATCCGTGTTTCCTCGTTAAACTATTATTACTGCAAAAACAGAGCTGCGAAAGTTAACCCGTGAAGTTAGCGATCGTTGCAATCACGGGATCTCCCGAGTATTAATTTTAATAGACGCTAATAGGGTTAGCTAGTTTTAGGCTAATTGTCAACTTGGCTGTACTAGATCCGATAATGACTAGACGGTGAATCGATCTTAATATGTATATTTTGCTTTGCAATAAAATATAACTACTTCACACATCTTAAAAATACCATAGGATATTTTGTTTTTTCAAAAGACTTGGTTTTAATCAAAACCTAAATATTCCAAAACCAAACTACTGAATCGATTTTATTAAAATTTATATGGGAACAATCTGAAAATATATCCTTTTAGGCATAAAAAAAAATCTTATTCGATTTATAAATGACGGAAACAAACTTTTAAAAAATGCAATTGAATTGAAATCCTCTATTTTTTTAAGTCGGCTAATAAAAATACACAGATAAATTATTTACATTATTTTTTGCAAAGTACAATCTCCAATCTATAGAAAAATATCCATGAAGTTTTTCTTACGGATAAATACCAGAGCAACATCAGTATTGCTGGTGTCTTAGAGAAAAACAGCAGTAATTGCGGTTCCTGATGTACTTCTTTAAGATACCAAGTCCATAATATTCCTTTTCACCTGCATTTATTTTCTATGGTACTTATTAGCTTTGAAATAGGCTCCAAAATTTATTTAACTCCTACTAAATGACAATTAGGAGTTCCTACATAAATTTATGTATAAATAAGGCGTGGCACCAGTGGATGATTATAGGTGAGGATGAAAATAGGTCAGTTCGCTCATAGTGATGAATTCCACACGAATTAAGCACGATAACTTCCAAGGAGAACCGGGTGGAGTAACTTTGTAGAGTATATTGATAGCAATGGAGTTCTTAGAACCCCATTACTGATAATCTCTATCGTTCGTTGGTAAATGGTTACCCTAGCATGTCCAGTAGAGGCTATGGGCGCCTGCAACACCACTCGTCGAAGACGAGCGTCTAAAACTTTGCTATAACAAATTTTTGTTGCAAACCGTACGATACTTAAAGCGAAAAACTTCAATTGTTAACAGATAGTCAACATTGTGTACTTTTTCTAACTAAAAAGTACCGTTCGCAGCTAACGAAAGTTGTACTAGTGACGTGACTAGTTTTAAAATAAACGTCCGCAACAACACTTCGGCGAATAACTTATTTAACTTTGTACAAACTGTACATAACGTGTTTCGCAGTTACTTTCTGTTTAATAACCGTAAAAGTTAAAAACTCGTTAGTTTGCGGACGCGCGCAACTTCCCCGCAGCGTTCCAACATTAAACCTCCCATTTTACCTGTACTCACCCACGTTGCTATAATATCTAAAGGGGAAACGGGGCATAGTAGTCACTGTGCTAACTAAATACTACGTTAAATTTTATTCGCTTCAATATAGCTTGTTATTATGGGACAACTGTTTTTATGAACAAATGTAGCGGGTGCGGTGCAGTACGACTAGAGAACACAATCCAGGGATCTGGAATGAAAAAAATTATGTCATCAACCTTCTAACAAAAACTTCTATATTATTCTTAATAGAAGATTGAAATAAGAATGAGATTATTATTATCACCAGAGGGAGACTTTGTACAAAAGTCGATTGCTTGGGTACCTCTGTCCCATTCGTGTTTCAACCGTGAAGCAGTTGTGTTTGCATGGCTGTGTTTCGGTTTGAAAGATGGGATATGGCGTGAATTTACAGGGTACAGAGGTATAAAATCTGAGTCCTCAGGAATGGCAACGCATGGGGGGTATCATGGGCGAAACAGTATACTCTGTTATGTCCATGATACTGCTCATATCTAAAAGCGACGGTTACCACTTTCCATCAGGTGAGCTTGTTTGCCATTCAAAATTGTATATAAAAAAAAAATTTAATCTTGTATTACAATTGATTAACAAAGACATAATGTTATTTTTTGCATCTGTGGTCATTCAAAATTATTTTTAATTATTTGTTTTCATTTATACAATAATTCCTATATTAATTATTACAGCTGCATATGTATCGTCCAGTTGCCTTTGTCACTCGGGATCCTGAGAATAAATTATCTAAGCACGACGTCACATTATTACATAACTACTAGTAGTACTACTACTGACTACTAGATCCATGATCTACTCTTTACTGACGAAACCCTGTGCAATCTACCAGTTACATACTTCTTCAAAATCTCAAATAAAACAGCATAGTTCAGTACACAATTATGTTGTATTGTAGTATTTTTTTATTTTATTAAAAGGAAAAACATAAAACTGAAAATTATTCTTAGTAACTACTTATTTATATTAGTGTGAGCATTGCGTCTGATTATCTTCCACTAGATTAGCAAAATATTATATTTTTTGCTTTGCCACTTTCAACTGGACTAATAAGAGGAGGGAAAGGGATTGTTAGTAATGGGGTCAAATAGCCCCGTTACTAGCAATATACCCTCAGATCAAGAGGTCAGGTCGACCTCCACGTGGTTCCTCCTGGAAACCATCGTGGCTAATTCTAGTTAAATTCGTCAGGATAGGCTAACTGACCTGTTTTCATCCTCATCAGTCATCTGTCACTGGTACCCCGCCAGTGTATACCGATAGCGCAGACGGGTTTACCATACCATATCATCCATTTAAAAAAAACTGGACTAATAGTCAACTAATAGAGCGCGATCGACCAGGTGATCACCCTTGGTATATAATAATATATTTATATACAACTACATAGTATCAAACACATGACGCGTTGAGAAATACAAATATAAATAATAAACATATCAATACAACGAAATTATGGAAACATATTTTTTTAAATAATATATAACCTCCATTAAATAGCAATATCATGGAAGTAAAATTACTTTTCCATATACGTAGAAAACAGAGGGCCTACCATGAAATATTTTTTGAAATTTCGGGGACGAACGAAATAGAAATTTGATGTTAAAATTACATAATACATGCCGTTTAAAATTATTAAAAATATCGTTCCTCTGGACTATTAGGATAGGATTTATGATGAATGAAATGTTAAGCTCCATTTATTTAGTCGATTTACATAGGTACGAACAAAAATCGAAATTGAGCCCGAAAATTCGGAATTTCATTTCATGGTAGACCCCCTTATATACGTGATAATAATTACCTATCTATTTAGTTTATATTTGTTTTTGATCAGAGACATTACAATTATTATCAATAAATTTTTTAAAGTAGTTTAGTTTTTTGTCAAACATCATTAAACGGCTGAATAGATCGGAATAAAAAATTATAATAAAACAGATGGACTATATTCTGTACTGGCTCTTGTCCGCAGCTTTGCTTGCATGTGTATATAAATAATTATTATAAAAATAAACATTAACAAATAATACTGCATCTACATTACCAAAATAACCAACAAAGCCTAATGGTTAAGCAAGCAGATGTAGTAATAGGCTGGCCACAGCTCGAAGAACCGTCAGCCAATAGGGAAGAAAGATTTTTGAGTGGCGGTCCCGTACAAACAAATGCGGCAAATGTAGTGTAGGACGACCTTCCAGTAGATGCAGTGACGACCTCACATGCATTGAAGGGAGTATGTGGATGTAGGTGG